CAACCCCGTGTCAGAAATTTCAAAAATGTATACCTGGTAATATCTTTTTCCAAAAATGTATTGCATGTAATATTTTTTCAGAAATGTATTGTTGGTAATAATGTATTACTGGTAATAATTTTTATATTCCAAAATTTATTGCTGGTAATATTTTTTTACAAAAAGTATTTCTGGTATTAAAACCTATTTTTACAATTTTTCATAGTGTTTTGCCCACATTTTGGCGCTTAACTATTGGCAGAGACCCTAACAGGTGCTGCCACCCCGGGTCAGGGTTGACCTGGGAAAACCAGCAATTAAGAGTTGATACCACGCTCCTCAAAACCCCCAGACCAGAGGCCTTGCTGTTGGACGTAGTTTATTGTTTTACACAGGATGCGGATGCAGTTTATCGTCATACCCAGGACGGGAAATGTTTTTCTTTGCAAAGTGCCTCTATAAGATCACGACATTACTGCCCTGTAAGGAACTAGACTTTCTGATTATGTTCAGTTAACAGTATCAGGTTCTGGATCCATAATATTTCACAAAGGGATACCATTATTTGAGCGTCGCGGGGTTTAGCAGTTTTAGTCATTAAAACGCATTCTATTAAAGTATTTCTCATAATTACTGAAAAGCTTTTCTGTTCGGATAATATCTCTTCGTTTTCAAGTTCAGCCGAAACTATTTATGACTGCGATAAATATTTATACTCCGATACTGGTAAGGTCCTAGGGCCAAATTGACACCTTCTACGCACGTTAGCAGGAAGAGGGTGAGAAGCTGGTAATTCAGTGGGATTTTAATTTCCCTGCAGGAGGTGATTTTGATAAATGTTCGCGATGGAACGTAGAAATGTAATGATAATGGAATGCCCTGGTTCCAGTTTTGCTAAGAGTTAGGGTTTGTGATAACGTGATTCAAGCAAAGAAAAAAAAAGGAAAAGGCGACATTTAATCACAAGTCACTGGTATATTCTTCACATGTTCTTGTGTGGTGGAGGGACATAGATGACTTGTAATCTGAGTGCTGGATCGATCACAATCTCCTTCAAAATATACTGTCCGATAGTATCCGATAGTATCCGAAAGATTGATAGATTTGATTTTTACGGTTTACCATCCTCTTGCAGGTTATTTAATGGCAGATTTTACATTTAGATTTTAAGAATTTCTGAGGGGATAATAATGATTTACTGATATTAATTCTACTTATTAATCCATAGCTAGAGGTAAGAAGTATATCCATAATTGTCGCAATGGAATTTTCGGGTACGCAAATAGAAACTACCGGACTGAAAAATGGAAGTATTCTATACGATTTCCAATTTTGGCGCGCAATTATTTTCGTTTTACAGCTTCATTATTATTTCTCAATTTCTATTATCAACCACATACTGTTTAGCGGGGGGGGGAAGCATCTTTACAAGCCAATTATCTTTACAATTAAAAAAAAAATCATCCCCGTACCAATAATTTCAGTCAGCAGGGATTTATATGATGCTCCAGGTCAATGACTAAGATGACACCGTAAATAAATAAAAAATATTCAATAGAGAAATCAGTATATGTATTAAAAGCAATTATATCTGTACAAAAAATTAATTATAAGTTTTTAAAACTAGTACAGCACTTTGTCTTCTCTCATATACATAGCAAACTTTAAACAACACATATACACACGAACTCTCTTTCATCACACACACACACACACACACACACACACACACACATATATATATATATATATATATATATATATATATATATATATATATATATATATATATATATATATATATATATATAAAAATGAGTCATGCTCAAAACGTTTCACAATGGACTCGTTTTCAATTATATGCGTAGGCAGGTCCAAATATCATCTGTCTATTTTGGAAGCCATCTGCCTCAAATTATTTAAACCATCGCTTTCTAAACAAAAGGAGAATTTTCACGATCGCTAAATTTATTTTTTGATATATGAGCAACTTATTTTTCTATTTTACTGCTCAGGTTAGTTCATTATTATTAATTCATTATTTACGCATTTATTTTAATCGTAAATTTATTTTTAATTTTACGTATATATATCTTCGTAAAATTTTAGACGTGTTCCAACCATACCATTTTGGCGTTCTTTTCATTTTCATTGTTTGTTTAAAATCATTTGCCGACGAAAGACCCTGATGAAGCGTTGGCCGAAAGGTACCTAGGTCCTGCAAAAAAAAAAAAAAAAAATGGTCATACAAAAGAAATTCATTTTCTTTAAATCGATATATATATATATATATATATATATATATATATATATATATATATATATATATATATATATTTTTTTTGTGTTCTTATAATCTTCTTTTCTGGACATAAATTATGTAGAAATATTGTCTGTATGTGCGAACGTTTGCGGCTATACTTTTAGCCATTATCAAGTATGATTTCATTTTGACTTTTAACTTAATGTGTGAATTGGTCAGCAAATGTGACCGTGTTCATAGTTGATATTATTGTGCGTTGCCATTTTCTTTTCTTTTTTAAACAATGCTTCGATTAATTTTTAATTTTAACCTTTGTGGATTATTATTATATTTTTATTATCATAAAGTATATTTCCGATAGAGTTTGTCAGTTCTTCATGGTTACATTACACACCCAGACACACCCAGACACACACACACACACGCATATATATATATATATATATATATATATATATATATATATATATATATATATATATATATATATATATATATACTAACCTTCCAAAAAATTTAACAGTTTTTCTTCTCGTCATCATTCACCCAGTTCAATCAAAGTTTGTTCTACAGGAGGATGCTTGGAATACCATGGATCCAACTGTTGCGTAGAAAGACGACAGACCTTTTCTACACTAATTTGTGAACATGTCTCCTCCCTATGGGTAGTACTTCTGTTCATAGAAGCAGCGGTCGCAAAGTGGGTCGCAAGGCATAGCGTTGTGTCGAACGCATTGCCCCACTAAACAACTGTATTCTCTATTTTTGTATTATTAATTTATTTCCCTCGTGTGATTAAACATTCTCTTCATTATTTTTTGATACTATTTATAAAAACATTATAACACACACATATATTATGGAGAAAATTGAAACAAATATGACCCTTATACTTAGTATCAGAAAGAGACGTTTAAAATTTATAGGGTACATATATTGAGGAAAGAGGGCTTGGAAAATTTAATACTCACTGGACTGATTGAGTGGAAGAGGGACAGAGGAAAATAACGTGTAACCTACCTAGAAATCCTGACTAAATGGATGGCAGCGCGGGGCTTAGGAGAGATAACGAAAAGATAACATTTATTAAGAGCTACAAAGGACAGGATGGTAGGGAGAATCATGATCATAGAAGAATTATTTTACCATTTAAGCAAAGTTACCAAAAGTATAAATTTATTTTTATTTGCACTGGAATAGCACAATAGAAGACGCGTTGCGTGATGAAAAACTCGTTTCCTCTGCTGCCATGATAGTAATGTTAGCGGCGGGGAGCCTGACAAATAAACGAGACCCCGTGATAGGATTACGTGCAAAGTCGACGCTGAAGGTTCACAGTAAATCTGTCGAATGCGTGTCACGTTTGACATTACACTGTGGCAGCCAATTGGAAAGCAGATATAATGGAATGATTTCATTGCTTGAATATCAATAGTTTGCTATGTGCAATAGCGAAGGAAATTTGATTTGTTTACGCGTCTTTACACGTGCCGTCAGCGGTAAGACGCCCCGGACATGAGAGCAGAAAATGTTGACGTAAAGGAGGCATGGGTTGAAAGAAAAAAAAAGAAGAAAAGTCATCGTTAAAATAAAGAAACCAAACATCAAATAGGAAATAAAGGAGAAATTAATTGATAAAAAGGCTAAAAACGAAATTGTGAGAGAAGTAAGTATGAATTTAAGCGGGAAAACATTAAACATATACATGTCATTCAAACTTTGTAAGGTCAGTTTTAATGCATGTTCTCTTCATTCTATAAAGTTTTTGAATACACATATTGAGGAAGACATCTATTTTTTGTAATTATATCTAGAGAAGTAAATTCAAGTGAACTTACACTTCAATTTCTACTGACAGATACATCTGAATTTTTTTTCCTTGTAATAATAATAATAATAATAATAATTGAGAACACTTAGAGTTTTTTCATTTTTTTTTTAAATATTTCCGTACAGTTTAAAAATATAATTGAACAGATTAATTGGGTTTATTTAGATAATTCCTTAATTTCAGTCCTCGTGTATCAATTTCTAATGTGAAATGTCAGACGATAACAACGGTTACGAATAATGCTACAGGAGATACGATTGTAATAAAATTTGCTGGGGTTAAAATTATAGAATTCTATTAAAAAATTAATATTTAAAAAAATTATTGAAGTCCAATTAAGAAAAAGGATATCGTTAAATGCGAAGATTACATTTATTTACTTTTATGCTAGCGTCACTTCAGGTTATAAAAGAGTCAATAAATCATAAAGCAATCACATACGCATTAACCTTATATGCGTTTGTGTTACTGATATAAGAGAATATATCTGTCTATATCCCTGATTTGAGGTATTATGATTACTTGCATTATTTACATTATTCGGCCTGCTATCCTCATCTTCATTGTCATATTCACAATGTTTCGGCCGTTGTACGCTCCGGCCTTCTTCATATGATTGGAATTTCGAACCATTTATTTTGTCCACAGGGGTATATTTTTCTAGTTACTCGTGCCATGTCTCTTCTTGATATCTCATTTTCCTTTACCTCAACTCTCCAAGATTTCGTACCACAAGGGCACATGCCCCAGTAGATAAAGACATTGGTTAGATCCAGTTACTAGATCCAAAGAGTTGTGAGTTCAATACCAGGTCACAGGAGTGGTGAACCAAAATCAGTTTAAACGTTGTTAATATGGCAATGAAGATGAGGATAACAGTCCGAATAATGCAAGTATAAGGGAGGAATGCACTAATAAAATTTTGGACTAGCTCAAATATATAAAGTAAAAATGAGGAGATGAAAAATATAATAAAATTAAGTAGGAAAAGAAGAAGATAGTAAAAAGAAGGGGGAGAGGAAGAAGATAGTAAAAAAAGAAGGGGAGAGGAAGAAGATAGTAAAAAAAAGAAGGGGAGAAAAGAAGATAGTAAAAAGAAGGGGAGAGGAAGAAAAAAAAAGAAGGGGAGAGGAAGAAGATAGTAAAAAGAAGGGGGGAGGAAGAGGAAAAAAGAAGGGGAGAAAAAAGATAGTAAAAAAGAAGGGGGAGGAGGAAGAAAAGAAGAGAAAAAGTAAGGGGGGAGGAAAAAGATAGTAAAAAAAAGAGGAGAGGGAAGAAAAAAAAGAAGGGGGAGGAAGAAGATAGTAAAAAAAAAGGGAGAGGAAGAAGAAGAGGGGAGAGTAAAAAAAAAGAAGGGGGAGAGGAAAAGATAGTAAAAGAAGGGGAGGAAGAAGATAGTAAAAAAAAAGGGGAGAGGAAGAAGAAGAAGATAAAAAGAAGGGGAAGAGGAAGAAGATAGTAAAAAGAAGGGGGAGAGGAAGAAGATAAAAAAAAAAGAGGGAGATAAAAGAAGATAGTAAAAAAAAGAAGGAAGAAGGGAGAGGAAGAAGATAGTAAAAAGAAGGGGGAGAGGAAGAAGATAGTAAAAAAGAAGGGGGAGGAAGAAGATAGAAAAAGAAGGGGGGAAGAAGAAGATAAAAAGAAGGGGGGGGGAAGAAGATAGAAAAAAAAAGTGGGGAGAGGAAGAAGATAGTAAAAAAGAGGAAGAAGGATATTAAAAGAAGGAGGAAAAAAAAAAAAGAAGGGAGAAGATGGTAAAAAAGAAGGGGTAGTAAAAAGAAGGGGAGAGGAAGAAGATAGTAAAAAGAAGGGGGGAAGAAGATAGTAAAAAAAGGGGGGGGAGGAAGGAAGAAGATAGTAAAAAGAAGGGGAGAGGAAGAAAGAGCAAAAAAAAAGAAGGGGGGAAGAGGTAAAAAGAAGAAGAAGATAGTAAAAGAAGGGGGAGAGGAAGAAGATAGTAAAAAAGAAGGGAAGGGGAGGAAGAAGATAGTAAAAAGAAGGGTAAAAAGAAGGAGAGGAAGAAGATGGTAAAAAAGAAGGGGGAGAGGAAGAAGATAGTAAAAGAAGGGGGGAAGAAGGTAAAAAGAAAGAAGAAAGATAGTAAAAAAGAAGGGAGAGGGAAGAAGATAGTAAAAAAGAAGGGGGAGGAAGAAGATAGTAAAAAGAAGGGGAGAGGAAGAAGATAGTAAAAGAAGGGGAGAGGAAGAAGATAGTAAAAAAAAGAAGGGGGAGAGGGGAAGAAGATAGTAAAAAGAAGGGGGAGGAAGAAGATGGTAAAAAAGAAGGGGGAGAGGAAGAAGATAGTAAAAAGAAGGGGAGAGAAGAAGATAGTAAAAGAAGTAAAAAGAAGTAAAAAGAAGGGGAGAGGAAGAAGATAGTAAAAGTAAAAAGAAGGGGGAGAGGAAGAAGATAGTAAAAAGAAGAAGGGGAGGAAGAAGATAGTAAAAAAGAAGGGAGAGGAAGGAAGAAGAAGATGTAAAAAAAAGAAGAAGGGGAGAGGAAGAAGATAGTAAAAAGAAGGGGGAGAGGAAGAAGATAGTAAAAAAAGAAGGGGGGAGGAAGAAGATAGGAAAAAAAAGAAGGGGAGAGGAAGAAGATAGTAAAAAGAAGGGGGGAGAGGAAGAAGATAGTAAAAAAGAAGGGGGAGAGGAAGAAGATAGTAAAAGAAGATGATAGGGAGAGAAGAAGAAGATAGTAAAAAGAAGGGAGGGGGAGGAAGAAGATAGTAAAAAGAAGAAGGAGAAGAGAAGATAGTAAAAAGAAGGGAGAGGAAGAAGATAGTAAAAAGAAGGGGAGAGGAAGAAGATAGTAAACAGAAAAAAGAAGGGGAGAGGAAGAAGATAGTAAAAAAGAAGGGGGGAGGAAGAAGATAGTAAAAAAAAGGAAGAAGATAGTAAAAGAAGGGGGGAGGAAGAAGATAGTAAAAAAAGAAGAAGGGGAGGAAGAAGATAGTAAAAAAGAAGGGGGAGAGGGGGGGGGAAGAAGATAGTAAAAAGAAAGGGAAGAGGAAGAAGATAGAAAAAAAGAAAGGAAAAAGGGGAGAGGGGGAAGAAGAAGTAAAAAAAAAAGAAGGGGTAAAAGAAGGAAGAAGATGGTAAAAAGAAGGGGGAGAGGAAGAAGATAGTAAAAAGAAGGGGGAGAGGAAGAAGATAGTAAAAAGAAGCGGGAGAGGAAGAAGATAGTAAAAAGAAGGGGGAGAGGAAGAAGATAGTAAAAAGAAGGGGGAGAGGAAGAAGATAGTAAAAAGAAGGGGAGAGGAAGAAGATAGTAAAAAGAAGGGGGAGAGGAAGAAGATAGTAAAAAGAAGGGGGAGAGGAAGAAGATAGTAAAAAGAAGCGGGAGAGGAAGAAGATAGTAAAAAAGGGGGGGAGGAAGGAGGAAGAAGATAGATAGTAAAAAGAAAGGGAGAGGAAGAAGATAGTAAAAAGAAGGGGAGAGGAAGAAGATAGTAAAAAGAAAAAAAGAAGGGGAAGGGGAAGAAGAAGAAAAAGTAAAAAGAAGGGGGAGGAAGAAGATGGTAAAAAGAAGGGGGAGAAGAAGAAGATGAAAAAAAGAAGAAGGGGAGAAGGGGAAGGAAAGATAGTAAAAAAAAGGGGAGAGGAAGAAGATAGAAAAAAAAGAAGGGGAGAGGAAGAAGATAGTAAAAAGAAGGGGAGATAGTAAAAAGAAGAGAAGATAGTAAAAAAAGAAGGGGAGGAAGAAGATAGTAAAAAAGAAGGGGGGGGAGAGGAAGAAGATAGTAAAAAAAGGGGGAAGGAAGAAGATAGGGGAGAGGAAGAAGATAGTAAAAAGAAGCGGGAGAGGAAGAAGATAGTAAAAAGAAGGGGGGGAGGAAGAAGATAGTAAAAAGAAGGGGAGAGAGAAGAAGATAGTAAAAAGAAGGGGAGAGGAAGAAGAAGATAGTAAAAAGAAGGGGAGAGGAAGAAGATAAAAAAAGAAGGGTAAAAAGAAGATAGTAAAAAAGGGGGGGGAGAGGAAGAAGATAAAAAGAAGGGGGAGAGGAAGAAGATGGTAAAAAGAAGGGGGGAAGAAGAAGAAGAAGGTAAAAAGAAGTAAAAGAAGGAAGAAGAAGATGGTAAAAAAGAAGGGGAGAGGAAGAAGATGGTAAAAAGAAGGGAGAGAAGAAGAAGAAAAAGAAGGGGAGAGGAAGAAGTAAAAGAAGGGGAGGAAGAAGATAGTAAAAAAAGGGGGAGAGGAAGAAGATAGTAAAAAAGAAGGGAGAGGAAGAAGATAGTAAAAAAGAAGGGGGGAGGAAGAAGATAGTAAAAAAAGAAGGTAAAAAGGGGGAAGAAGATAGTAAAAAAGAAGGGGAGAGGAAGAAGATAGTAAAAAAGAAGGGGAGAGGAAGAAGATAGTAAAAAAGAAGGGGTAAAAAGAGGAAGAAGATAGTAAAAAGAAGGGGGAGGAAGAAGATAGTAAAAGAAAAAGAAGGTGGGGAGGAGGAAGAAGATAGTAAAAAGAAGGGGGGGAAGAAGATAGTAAAAAAGAAGGGGGAGGAAGAAGATAGTAAAAAGAAAAAAGAAGGGGGGGGGAGGAAGAAGATAGTAAAAAAAAAGAAGGGGAGAAGAAGAAGTAAAAAGAAAGGAAAAAAAGGGGGAGGAAGAAGATGGTAAAAGAAGAAGGGGAGGAAGAAGATAGTAAAAAGAAAGGGAGAGGAAGAAGATAGTAAAAAGAAGGGGGAGAGGAAGAAGATAGTAAAAAAGAAGGAGAGAAGAAGATAGTAAAAAAGAAGGGGGAAGAAGAAGAAGATAGTAAAAAAGAAGGGGAGAGGAAGAAGATAGTAAAAAGAAGGGGAGAGGAAGAAGATAGTAAAAAGAGGGGGAGAGGAAGAAGATAGGAGGAAGAAAAAAAGAAGGGGGAGAGGAAGAAGAGTAAAAAAGAAGAAGATAGAAGAAAAAAGAAGGGGGGAGAAGATGGTAAAAAAGAAGATAGGAAAAAAGAAGGGGGAGGAAGAAGATAGTAAAAAGAAGGGGGGAGAAGGAAGAAGATAAAAAAGAAGGGGGAGAGAGGAAGAAGATAGTAAAAAAGGGGGGAAGAAAGAAGATAGTAAAAAAGAAGGGGGAGGAAGAAGATAGTAAAAAAAAGAGAGGAAGAAGAAAAAAAGAAGGGAGGAAGAAGATAAAAAAAGAAGAAGGGAGAGGAAGAAGATAGTAAAAAGAAGGGGGAGAGGAAGAAGATAGTAAAAAAGAAGGGGAGAGAAGAAGATAGTAAAAGAAGGGGAAGAAGAGGAAGGGGGAGAGGAAGAAGATAGTAAAAAAAGAAGGGGGAGAGGAAGAAGATAGTAAAAAAAGAAGGGGAGAGGAAGAAGATAGTAAAAAAAGAAGAAGAAGGGAGAGGAAGAAGAAGATAGGAAAAAAGAAGAAGGGGGGGGGAAAAAAGAAGGGGGAGGAAGAAGATAGTAAAAAGAAGGGGAGAGGAAGAAGATAAGGGGGAGAGGAAAAAGTAAAAAAAGGGAGAGGAAGAAGATAGTAAAAAAGGGGAGAGGAAGAAGATAGGAAAAAAGAAGGGGAGAGGAAGAAGATAGTAAAAATAAGGGGGAGGAAGAAGATAGTAAAAAGAAGGGGGGAGAGTAAAAAGAAGATAAAAAAAAGAAGGGGAGAGGGAAGAAGATAGTAAAAAAGAAGGGGGAAAAAAAGAAGTAAAAAAGAAGGGGAGAGGAAGAAGATAGTAAAAAAGAAGGGGGGGAAGAAGATAGAAGAAAAAAGAAGGGGGGGAGAGGAAGAAGATAGTAAAAAGAAGGGGGAGGAAGAAGATAGTAAAAAGAAGGGAGAGGAAGAAGAGAGGAAGAAGATAGTAAAAAAGAAGGGGGAGAGGAAGAAGATAGGTAAAAAAAGAAGGGGGGAGGAAGAAGATGGTAAAAAGAAGGGGGGAGGAAGAAGATAGTAAAAAGAAGGGGGAGAGGAAGAAGAGAGTAAAAAGAAGCGGGAGAGGAAGAAGATAGTAAAAAGCTAAAAGCTAGGAAGAAGATAATTAAAAGGAGGGGAGAGGAAAAGTTAATAAAAAGTAGGAAGGGGATAATAAAAAGAAGAAAAATAAGAAGATAATACTACAAAGATGGGGGAGGAGGTGGAGGAAGATAGTTAAAAGGAGAAAGTAAGGAAGAAAATAATTAAAAGGATGCTGAGAGGAAAAGATAATAAAAAAGGAAAGTTAGAATTTAATTAAAATAAGAGGAGAGGAAAAAGATAATAAAAAGGAAGAAGATAGTGAGAAGATAATTAAAAGGAGTGGAAAGGTAAAGATAATAAAAAGGAGGGGTAGAGGAAGTGGATAATGAAAAAAGAGGGAAAAGAAGAAGGTAATATTAAAAAGAAAGGGTGAGGAAGAAGAAAGTATAAAAGGAGAAAGAAGGTAAAAGAAGGCTGAGAGGAAAAGATAATAAAAATGAGGTGGAAAGGAAGAAGATCATTAAAGTGGGGCGGGGGAGAGGAAGTAGATAATAAAAAGGAAGCAAGAAAGAATATAATTAAAAGAAGAAGTGGAAAAATATTATAAGAAATTAAAGATTTGAAGAAAAGAGAACATTCGCTTAATGAATAAAAATAACAAGAAATTTCTAAGAAAGCGAAAGAGAAATAAACGACTTTGGACAAATAAACGCAAACGATTGGAGCAGAAACAAAATGGTTGCTGCTAAATAGACATCTCTTGAAATTTGGGTAATGATTACAAAATTAGTTTCAGTGAACATTACTACTGTATAATAAATTAAATAACCAATGTGTCCTGGACTTTTTCCCTTGATTGGTTGATTTAGTTTTATGTTCTCTCAAGACTTTTTCGTCAATTTAAAACCGAATCATTTTGGGATTGTTAGAAAATTTCCTTTTTTTTACCAGTAAATATTTAATTAACAAGAAATTTAAGAATAACGATTATATCTTAATATCGTTTTCTACTATGACGACGATAGATATTCGCACTTATCTGATCCAAAGCGCTCATGGTGTCTGGACTGCCAAACCGCCATTTTCGAGAGATCAACGTCGCATGCGTGATACTGAGCGTTTTATAAACATCGGCCATTTGCATACGAGGCCGATCACCCGCTTTAAAAGGATGTATACAATTAGAAAAGGGCAAAGAAATATTGAAAGTGAGCAAATGAGAGATGTCGCCTTCTTTTTATTTTTTGATATAAAGATTATACTATTCGTTAATATGACTACAGAAAATAAATTAAAACTATTTAATCCATAGATGGGATGGGATGGATCCATCGCTTTCCAAAGTGTATTTCTGAATAACTGAATGTAACAAACGTGACTGGTATACGAACTCTGTTCATCGATTTCTCAATCCGAGCCGTTTTCCATTGCACAACCTGCATATATCCTGTATCTGTGACATTTTGCCTTGCAAATCTAAGCTTAGTAAATGTTTTTTGTTTGTTTGTTTAACGGCATATCAATTGCTTATGGGTCATTTTAATGCCGAAATTTAATTATCTTGGGAGCTATGAATTAAAAAGATAAGTTATTCTGCTTTCGCAATTGAGTACATGGTAGATGATTGTCAGCTTTTCTGCATATATATGTTTGTGTGCGGGCACCACGGCGTGGTGTAACAGTTAGCAAACTTGTCTCGCTTAAAGTGTTACGGCTGGAGAGTGAATTCCTCAATAGGTATCCCATACTTTCCTTTTTGAGCCACATATAAATTACACTTAGAAAATCATTTGGGCACCTCGGGGCGATGTAATGGTTAACGAGCTTGTTTTGCTAGAACAATTACGAGAGTTCGATCGTCAGTGGTTGCCGCATACTTTCGGCCTTGTGCCACATGTAAGCTACACTTAGAAAATCCCGATACATATTTATGTGGACATAGGGACGGTCATATGGGTATCGTAGTTTTACTTATGCTATATTTTAGAATGCTTATTGATTCCATTAAAATATCCTCGACTTTCAGAGACGGATATGCAATGTGATGGGTCCTAATCTTTAATCAAGTCTACACTCCCTTTCTCACGGACGTGCCGTTGCTTCCCTCTGTATTTTCTAAAAGTATTTTCACGGTAACTGTTCCGACGAGCTACTTTCGCTGGTTCCCAAAGTTCATTAATTTAAGCATGCTAATAGCTTGGCGTCTCGGTCCCACACTTTCACTGTCGAAACGATTAAATGTAGCCGCCTCTTCTACTCCAACAGCTTCTTATCAAGCACTTTCCGTCTGTGGAATTCATTTCTCTTATTTCCTTTCCTGATAGCTATAATCTTCAAATCTTCAAATGTTATGTCAATCTATATCTTTTGATGCCTTGATCTTTTTCCCCGTCATTTTCTTTATCCTTTCCTCAAACACGCCTCATTACTCTTGCTCTCACTATCTTGTAATCCATTGCGTACTAGTGGCACTCCCGATTCGCTTCTGCTGAAATGCTTAAAAAAATATAGTCGGTGTTATTTACGGAACGTCTCCTGTCTATGAAGATAATTCACATCTGACAGAAAGGCCACTGATCAGAAGATAGGGGGTTTTAAGGAGCGTGGAAAAGCTTCTTACTTGCTATGCAGGTTTCACATGTTAGTGACCCACGCTATGTGCAAGTAGCGAACCCTATGAAAGCACAAAAATACCAGACGTACATTTTTATATAAAAATTTAGCAAAAACACCTATTTATAGTAAAATTATCCGCTATACATATTTATAATAAAATTAATAACAACAATCAACATGAAAGAAATCCATTAAATTAATTGACTTAAAATATGTTTTTTCGCTACACAGTTCTAACCATGTTTCAAAAATGGAAGCTAAAAGCCCCGAATTTAATTTTGTAATTAAATTAGAGACATTAGTTCCATTTCATCCTCAAACGATTTTTTTTTTCGCTTGAGGATGAAATGGAACTAATGTCTTTAATTTAATTGTAAAATTAAATTCGTGGCTTTTAGCTTCCATTTTTGAAACATGGTTATACCTGTGTAGCGAAAAAAACATATTTTAAGTCAATTAATTTATAATATTAATGCTCTGTAAATTTACATTGAGCTCTATTTTGTAAAAATATAAATATCTATAAGAACACCGGATTATATATCTTACTGTTCTTTCTTTCTTTATATATATATATATATTATATATATATATATATATATATATATATATATATATATATATATAGGCGTTTGCCTTCTGTCGTAACAGATCGGGTTTCAATTCTCGGTAGTGGATGAACTGCTGATGAGTCCCTAATATAGAAAGAAACTGTCCATTGCTTTCTGCATTCTGTTCAGACTCGATGAAATACTTAATTATGATTATTTCAAATCATCCTAATTATTTCTATCTGTATATCCTTGCTTGAACCGACTTCAAATGCTCTGGATTGAGCGGGTTGGGGTTAGTTGTCGTGACTCGGGGAAGCTCAGTCCTATAGGTAAAGAGAAACTCTGATGAGTTCCATCACGGAATATGTGATCGAGTAACACTATATTGAGTCTAATTCGTTGCCTCTTCGTCACCGAGGCCCGTTGGTACAGTTTGTATGACACTTTCCTCCGATCGTAACTATTCGGGTTTCAATTCTCGGTAGTGGATGCATATTGCTGTAGTCCCATATATAGGACGAAGCGGCCGTCCAGTGACTCGATGAATTACTTAATTATGATTTTTTCCAAATCCTCCTCTCTCTCTCTCTCTCTCTCTCTCTATATATATATATATATATATATATATATATATATATATGTATGGGGGGGGTGTAATACGGTGCTCTTATTGATATTTTTTTTTATTTTCACAAAACAGTGCTCAATGTAAATTTACACAGCATAAATATTATAAATTAACTGATTAAAATATATGGTTTCTTCGCTACAAAGGAATTACCGTGTTTTCTAAAACAGAAACTGACAACTTCAAATTCGATAATTTAATTAAATTAAAAGCACTAGTTCTATTTCATATTCAATTTCAGTTTTTAATTTAATTAAATAATCGAATTTGAAGTTGTTACCTTCTATTTATATATATATATATATATATATATATATATATATTATATATATATATATGTGTGTGTGTGTGTGTGTGTGTGTGTGTATGCATAGATATGTGTGTGTTTGTGTGTGTCTGTCTGTGTGTGTGAGAGATAGAGATAAATAAAGATAGAGGGGGAAATATATTTCGGCTGATTCGCATGGTGTATAGATATGAAGATTATTATTCGGCAGAGAATGTACACCAATACACGCACACACATGCACATATAAGCACACGCACATATGTGCAAATATACGCATGCAAACACAATGACTTGTTTTTTTCTCATAAAGATCATTTTTTTAACCTCTCTACAGAAAAAAAAAAGTTATAAGAATATTTTCAGATATCAAAACCTTTGGTGCTTACGGCTCGTTAGTGTATTTTGACCTAAATTCTTTCTTTTATCGTTCATGATTAAATTCTCTTTTTGCAAACTAATTGTGATTCAAATTTGAGGTAGATAAAGCTGACATATTCTCACCGATGTAAATTAACGTCAACTGATTTCTGGCATCTGATACTTGATATAATCCTCTTCAGATAAAAAAAATATTGCCGTTGTAAAATTGGTTCAAATATTTTTTTTATTACTTTGAGGAGAAGAATAAGTTGTCTGTTTCAATCTTTCGTGATTTTTCACCAATTATTTTACTTGTAAAGATTCCGTTTCTTATGCGCACACACACACATGCACACACATATATATATATGTGTGTGTGTGTGTGTGTGAATAAACGTAGGATGTGGAAAATGATAAACATTGGGATAGATAGATAGATAGATAGATAGATAGATAGATAAGGGCAGATTTCTATATATTTATGGAACAACATAGATAATATCTGATTTGTTATCAAAATATCAACATTTTGTTGGTTATTTAAAGCTGAATCATATGTTGTCTTGTAAGAATAATTCTTTTTTGAGAGCGAATATTGTATTAGAAATTTTTGCGTATGAAAACGATTTTTCCAGATAGATTACTATTTAAACAATAACACATAAACTAATAATTTCTTACACTCAAAGGTTGACTTGTCATTTGTTACAATGAGTGCACATCACAAAGCAACCACCGAAATTACGAAAACATAGAAAAATCTAGTAGTTAATACGAAAACATGTAAAGAAGAAGTCAAAGTGCTAAGCAGCATTAAAATATATAAAAGTGACAAACCATATTAAATAAATTAACTTTCTCTCAGGGGTTGGTGTACTGGAAGGTGTATAAAATATTTAATAATTTCCATCTATATTATGTTGACACATTGTTTCTTGAAATCCGAAGTTAAGCAACGTCGAGTTTGGTTAGTACCAAGATGATTTACTGCTTGGATATGCAGATGTTGCAATGCATAAAAATTCGGAATTGGAAATCGAAAAAGTGCTGAGTTTCAATTTCCATCGGGTTCATCTTATTTACTGACGGGCAAACATCCTTGGGAAAGATAGGAATCAACATCCCCGCCCCCACTGTTATAGAATAATTGATATTCCTTGCATAATATTATAACACGGCAGGCCCGGCTCGATTCTGTGTTCTTCCTACGCTGATGGTTATCTGCTTGCCGCTTCGTTCCTTCATCTGCCCCATGTTGTGTTCCTTGATAATAGAGCAGTGAAGATGGAATGTCTTCCGTACTCGAGCATTGGGTCGAACCGCGGCGAAAACGTTTTAAAAAAAAAGGAGAAAAACATTTTCACTGGCGAAAATTTTTTTAAAAAATGGCATAACAAAATAATAGAAAAGTTCGCCGGGTTACTTTTCAATTGGTTTATATAGTTCTTAACACACAAAAAAATTTAACTCTTCTCGTTAAAATCAACGCACTTTGTTTTTTGTTTTTTTCTTCTAAAAGTTGGAGTGGGTTAAAAATTAAAAACAAAAACAAAAAACAAGGTCGGGAAATTTCTCGGTAGCAGGCAGTTTCTAGTTTTTGGGTCACCCAAGCGCCCGTTTATATGTACTTCGACTGACTCCTGGCGCACTTGAAGATTCATTAATATTCATATTAATTCGTTAATTATCTCTCCAATTTTGGACAACCGATACTGACCTTCAAACAAAATGGCGCTTGGTCGGCCACTTATTCAAAACAATAAATTCTTCGACAACAAACTCCGTGTTTATAAATTCTTTCCTATATCCTTGACGTCAAAGAAATGTCTTTGTAGTCGACTTTTCAATATGACCGATTAAATATCTCTGACCATATTTCAGATTGTTTACATTATCGGCTTGCGATTTATAACAACCGAATTTGTTTTTCAGCTATTTTATCTATATAATTTTAAATTTCTGAAATCATATTTTGCATCCAAAATTCCGGTTTGCGTTTCTTTTCATCAGAAAGGAAAATAATCTCTTTTTTTCCTTACTCCATATTTCAAGTCATCTTCTTACCATAACGTTTTTAACCCTTCCAATTTTCCAAATCCTGTAGGGGTTTTATATGAAACCTTTTAATAGTTTTAATACTACCAATGTCACAACAGTGTAACATTAACCCTTTCAACTACAATCAGTAACACTTTATAGTATCAGAGCACAACTTTCTCAAAAAAATTTTAAAAGTAAATAATTTTCTGATTTTATATAACCCGTAAATATTAGAATGTCGTAAAAACAAATACAAAATATTTAATATGTGTAAAAATAACTTCCCGTATAAAAATGAGATGCCTACACTTCTGAGTAACCGTTACAAATGATGGACCTTTGAACTGATTCCAATGAAAATTTTTGTAATTTTGTATAATGTTTATGCATTACACCCTAATCATTATTCGGTAAAAATTTAATTGCTAATCATGCATTACTTTTTAAGTAATACACATATTTATGTCTTTGTTGTTTCCGTTCCTTATATTATGGCCTCTACTATATATATATATATATATATATATATATATATATATATATATATATATATATATATATATATAAGGTGTAACAGAAAATTGTCCAAATCTTGTAACACCATAATTTTCATTACCCAGAAAAATGTTTAATATCTAAAAAAAAACAAAAAAAACAGTTAACTAATTGAGTTTCTTTTCCAGGTTTTCAGATAATAGGTTCACCCCTCTTGACAGCATTTGCCGTAAGAATAATTGAAAAGCACTTTGAGTTATTCAGCTAGAAATAGAACAGGTTAAAATCGTTTTGTGTCTTTCCATCTGAGCAATAGTGAGAGGAAAAAGAGCATTCAGGCTTTCAGTAATGGTAGGGACATTCGTACTCACACTTCCATCTTAAAAGTCGATTCAAGAACCATTTAAAGAATAGAGGTGAATAAGTTTAAAAAGAGGAAACAGTAGAGAGAAAAAGTGGATCAGAAGGTCACAACAGTAAGGGGGTATCATCATATCAACTAAAAGCTAAAAAGATAAATTAGAAAAGACCCAACTCAATTCATAAGACATTTGGTACGTGAGAAAAGAGTTTCAGCTACGACAGTCCAAAGAGAAGTGAAAAAAGCCCTGGAAATGAAATCGAACATGAAACATCTGAGGCACCTTGTTAAACCAGGACTGCAAGTTAGAAGGTTAGCGGGTGAAGATCATTTTGAATAAGTTAAAAAATGATGGTGAAATAGTATATGTAGATATGAAATCGATCATAAACGAAAATAAAATATTCATCATTAATTAAACATCGATCATAAACGAAAATGATATTTTCATCATTAATTAAACATTAATTAATATCTATATTTGAAATTTATATCAATCCTTCATTATCTTCCAGTCCATAGCTGTTTAATTGATGACGAATGTCATTTTCGTTTTTGATCGATTTCATCACGATTCTTCTTAAGCTTAGAGAGTATTTATACATTCATATTACCCAATAAGTGTTAAAAAAAAACCCTTGGTTTGGTTTGGTTTGTTTTGTTTTACAGCATATCAACCTCAATCGGTTATTTAATGCCGACAAGATTTTTATTGCTGGTAATATATTTTTTCATATGTATTTTTGGTAATGTTTTTCCTTCAAAAATCTATTCCTGGTAATATTTTTCTTCAAAAATGTATCACTTGTAATTTTTTTTTCAAAAGTGTATAGCTGGTAAAATCTTTTTTTCAAAAAAAGTATAGCTGGTAATAATTTTTTTCTTCGAAAACTTATTGCTGCTAATAATTTTTTTACAAAGTATTTCTGGTATTAAATCCTATTTTTACACTTTCATAATGCTTTGACCCCAGTTTGGGTGTTAACTGTGTGCCCATAGCTGGGACCCTAGCAGGTGCTACCACCGCGTGTCACGATCCTCAAACCCTCTGGATCAGAAGCCTTGCTGTTGGATGTAGTTTATGGTCTTAACGAGGACGTATAAAACCCTTGGAGAATTCCGGTAATATATATTTAATCATTTCTAAAATACAACAGTTCAGAGCTGAATGTCACAATTGGACAATTTTTCTGTTACATGATTTGGGCAATTTTGCTTTTACAGCCGGTATATATCAGGTCATCCCATAAGTTCTGTCTGAATTTTGAATAAAGAAACAAGTGTCCAAATGTTACATTTAATTACAGATTCAATCAACAATATATTTTCCCTCATTATCTATGACTTCCTTCCATCATACTAATTCCATTATTGTAAAATTCTTTGGCTTTGATTCGAAGAACTCACAAATGTCAGTTTTAACCTCTTCCTGTTTTACAAATGCTTCATTCTTCCAAATGATTCTGAAACAAATGGTAGTCTGAAGAAGCAAGATCGGGAGAATAATGTGGATGAGGAATTTTCTTCCAACCAAGTTCTTCGATCTTTTGTGACGTGGTTCTTGCTGTGTGGAGTCGCGCATTGTCCTGATGAAACATCACCTCTTTTTGATTCACTAGAGCAGGTCTTTTATTCCTCAAAGCTTGGTTCAAACGCTCTAATTGCTGACAGTATATTTGAGAATTAATTGTTGCATTAGGTGGTAAGAATTGAAAGTGGATTATTCCTTGACGATCCCACCAGATTGAAAGAAGAATCTTTTGCTCATGAAGTTCCATTCTCGGTGGTGGCTGGGGTCCTTCCCTTTACCAAGCCACTGTTTACGACGCTTAACATTTCGATAAAAGATCCATTTTTCGTCCCCAGTCACAAGTCTATCCAAAAAAGGTGAAAAAGTTGGCGAGAATGGAGAGAAGAGTAGATGTCAACTCGGGATTTGAGGGTGTTTTCAGACAGTTCATGAGGCACCCATTTTCCAAGTTTAGGAACTTTTCCAAGTTGTTGAAGATGACGATGAATAGTTGTATGGTATGAACTGAGAACCACTGCCAATTCTCCAACTGATAAAGCAGGATTTTCTTCAAGGGCTGCTTCAATAAACTTTTCATCAAACTCAACTGGACGTCCGGTTCGATCTTCATCTTCGATGTTGAAATCACCTCTGAATTTTGCAAACCGTCTTCTGCAAGTTCTTTCATTCGCATATTCCTCTCCATAAACTGAGTGAATGTTTCTAGCCGCTTCGGTTGTTGAGTTTCCTTTCTTGAACTCATAAAGCATTATGTGCCTCAAATGATTCTTGGGTACTTCCATGTTAGCAGAGTTTTAATCAAACAAAATTTAATATTATTGTTCTCTGAAATAAAATTTGATCAGTTTAAATGCATCTAAACATAAAATAATGTTCAGCTCCATTAGACATTATAAAATACTCTTTAAATTTCGTTCATTTTAACAAAAAGTTAAAATTCGGACAGAACGTATGGGATGACCTGATACAAAATGATTGTCAAAGAAGCAACTAGTACTGGGGATGCTGAGGGAGATATGGACGAAAGAGGGACAAGCGGATTGTGTTATCATCTAACATGATGCCTCGGGAGTATATAAATGCAATTATTTTTTTTATTATTTACGTGCTTTCGTAACAGGATAAATTGCGTTTGTTTCACAACGGCAATGCACCTGCTCACAACGCCCTGAACAACCAGCAGTTCCTGGCTGATAAAAGAAAAATTCCAACTTACTGGAACAACCTCACTATTCCTTTATCTTGCTCTGTGAGACATTTTCACTTCCCCAAGTTCAAGTGGATCATCAAGATGTAGGGTAGGGTTTTGAAGGTGTGGAGATGTGGAAGACATCAAGAGATCCATAACAATGCAGCTGAGGGGGCATCCAAGAAGTATCCTTCCAGCAGTGTAGAGATTGTGAGAAGTGAAGAATGGAAAAGTGTGAAGGAAATGCCGTGGAAGGCAAAACATGTAGTTTGTTGCTTGTAATTGATATAAATTGTTTGTGACACTCATCCCGTTACATTTCAGACCTACCTTGTGTAGATAAACATCAACGCATTTCTGGCATCTAATATTTAATATAATCAACTTCAGATAAAAAAAAAATTCCGCTGTAAAATTGCTTCAAATATTTTTTATTATTTTGAGGAGAAAAATAAATTAAGTTATATATATATATATATATATATATATATATATATATATATATATATATATCCGATGCGATGAGAACGAAAGTAATATATAAAATTCAACGTTCATCATTAATCCAAAAGAGGGCTTGATACCGATAAGCGATAAGTCGAAGTGCAGTTGAAATGCACTGAAACCAAGTTGCATCTTTGTAGTGAGTACAATGTTTTTTCTATATGATAAAATTATAATAAATATATATATATATATATATATATATATATATATATATGTGTGTGTGTGTGTGTGTGTGTTCAAAACATATATTTAAAATAATTAAAAGTTAAATTTTATTAAAGTTATTGCACCAACGTTAATATCATTTTAGTCCGATAAAATTCTAAATAACGACACACACAAGCACACACACACACACACACATATATATATATATATATATATATATAATGTGTGTGTATATATATATATATATATATGAAATATATGAAGCATATATATATATATATATATATATATATATATATATATATATATATATATATATATATATACACTAAGGTTCACAGGTTCACTCTGTACGAAACCCGAGGTCCACTCTCTCCTGTAGGAAGTTACATTTAGTGGTAGTGTTTACAGATAGGAAGATGAGATAAGGATTAAGCCTAGATTTGAATAGGATAAAATTGTAGTGATCGGGGAGACATCTTCTTGAGAATCGGTTTCATAAGGCAAAGTTAGGTTGGAAGTGGAACTTACTTCTTACCGATGGAATGGAAAGTGGAGGTTTGATGGTTTGTTACACTCTAAGTGTCCTAGCCGTAAAGATTACACGTTACACTCACAAACACGCGCGTGTGCGTACACACACAAGCACACACACACACAAACACATACACACACAAACACACACTCACACACACACATATATATAGAGTTCTGGTTCAAAAATTATAACATAAGTATGTTAAAACATCACTAAAATATAACCATTTTGTTTCAACACTTTTGGCGTCTTGTCAAGTGATGTTGTCGATATATATGTATATATATACATATTCATAGAGACGTTTTTTTATGTTTATACGTTCTTTTTAAAGATACAAACATTTAGGTAAAATTTAAGTTTATAATAAACAGTATTAACGACATTTACCGGCCTGAACGTGCGAGAAATTTTCATAGAAAATACGAGTCCTCTGACTGGAATCGAACCTGTATCCATTATGGAACTGTCATATAGCCTGACGTGCTTTTACTGATTGAGCCACAAAGCACGTCATGATATATGATTCATGCAGTAAATATAGGTACCTCTACGAAATATAAACAAAAAGAGCATAGCATAATGAAAAAGACGCCGAACTTGACGAAAAGTCAAATAATTGTTTATTTAAAATATTTTGAACCAAGCTTAACTTAGCTTCTGCGCCGAAAAAATGTAATTTGTAAATAAAACAAAGCAGGTCATAACCTTTCGCGTCATTTGACAGGTGACGAAAGACATTTTCATGACGTTTAGATAACTTACGGGAGGATAATTCTTTCTACGGATGTAAAGTATTTAGATTTAAGTGAACAAATTATTTACCTCGTTACTTTTAAGGAAAACTTTCAGCGCTCTAATTTTTTTTTTTTTTTTACTTAGCTTTCATATTTACGTTTACGATGCTTTATGGAAAATATAAAGAAATTAAAAAATAAGACTGTTAAGAGTGAGATTAATATAAAAATAAGATCATATTAATTAAAGTTTAGCAGTAGTTAAATTTCATAAGATGATACTGATACTTATATGTACCCTTCTCTGTTGAAACTGAAAAATCAAATTAACTTCTCCATGCGTGTTTCGCAAAAGTAAAGGCCTTAACATCGGAGAACACTGCTGAACTCAAATAATGCAACTAAATTGTATTCTGGTTAGTTTTCCTTACGTAATAATTACCGCCCGATTATAAACACAAAATTACATTTCTTAATTACTTCGGATCTTCTGATTGCTCCAAATGATACAATTTTCAAAGGGCCAGACAATGACAATCTCATAAGGACATTTAGAAAAGTTGACGTGGCTTTTAACTAACTTTATAATATTTTTAAAAAACTTAAAAAAACGGAAAAATCTATTTTTAAAAAACTTAAATAAATCTATTTTTAAAAAACTTAAAAAAACGTAAAAATCTATTATAATCAAAGAAATAACAAATAATTATATTAAAAATTCAATTTTCATTGAAAAATTTTTGCTTTCAGAAAATATTGTCCATATAAAAACAACTAAAAACAAAGCATTTGAAATTAAATAATATCTTTGTTTTATTGAGTTTTGTATGTTACAATTCAGAGCTGATTCTCAGGTACTGCGGATCCAATTACAAAAAACAACATGATTTGCATTCCTCAAAGCCTTGTGCTTTTGACTATTGTAATCACTAAAGTTGATGCGCTCGAATTTCTAGAGTTTTTCATAAAATTAGTTATGGGGGTGTTAATAATTATAAAAAAAATATGTCTGCCATGACTTTAATGAAAAATAAATATTTATAGTAACTTCGATTATCTGTGAATAGTTTCTGAAAGATTCATTAACATATGACAATTATTTTTATTTTTGCAAAATTTTCCAAATTAATGTGTGTAATACAAAAAAAAAAACGTGCTAAAAATTATCCATGTTATTTACTAGCCCCGGTTGGTACAAAGAGAAACAAGGTTTTTATAATCAAAATTTATTTTAAAAAATAATTTAAAAAAAAAAAACTTTGGTCTTTCCTCTTCATAAAAACATAAGCATTTAGACGAGAAAATTTTGTTTTTATAAAGTTTGGCGTCTTTTACATCAGACTATGCTCTTTTTTTTTCTTCGTGGAGATACCTAAGTAAATATACGATCATTTTATTGACGGTGATCATTTAACAGACTCAGAAAATCTAAACCGATCCTAACTAGAAGCAACCAGGTGTCTAGCCACACTGATGAACTGTGATACAGCGAAATTGTCTGTGGATGACAATACATACATATATATATATATATATATATATATATATATATATTGGTATATGTATTCTATATATATATATATATATATATATATATATATATATATATATATATATATATATATATAGATAGACACCTAGTGAGCCAGACAAACCTACTAGGTTTCACCTAAACGATCGTCGGAAAGGTGGAATTTTTCCTGAGGTTTGTGGAAACCTAGGTAGGTGTATCACTAAAGGTTTCTAGGTTTGCTCTACGATTGTATTGAGCTCTTTTGTTAGTTAGTTGTTACTCGTATCGGGGTTTTTCTTTTGGGCTTCAGACCTGCATCTGTGCGATTTTTTGTCGACAGAAGTTTATGTTTGTAGCTCTTTCTTTTTTAAAACCTTTTTTCCCTCGAAATTGATTTGATTAACAAATCAAAAATTCGAGGGTTTTTCGAAACGAGTCTAGTTATTTATATTTATATGTATATATATATATATATATATATATATATATATATATATATATTCAATGTATATAACGCAAGGAAATTTTGACATAAATCCTGAGGGTAACAGAAGCAGTAAATATACGATAATTTTATTGACGATGATCATTTAAAAGACTCAAAAAATCTAAACTCTACATTTTTGACACTTCCACATTTTTTATGTCCTTCTTTGAATTTATATTGCGTTTCAAAAGAACAAATACATTTTGGTCAGGCGGCTGTCATTTTTCCACGACGTTCTATAGAATTGCAGATATTGTTCTTGATATGTTACCATATTTATTTATTTTAATCTATCTCTGTCATATTCGTATGGATGCTGCCAGAATATAAGAAATATTTTTATACACGGAAGAATAAGGTTTGTGGACATGTTTGTCAGGATTGAGCATAATGGTAGGAAAGTAAGTCCCTTCGGCAATAAGAACGGAAGAAGTTTATTTCCGACTTATATAATCCCAGACCGAAGCATCGGGAAAAAGAAACTCCGGTTATTGTTCATGTCACAAACGGCTTTATCAGGACACAAATAAAATATTCCCCAAAATGTTAGAAATCTATTTAATCACACTCCTTCTCTGTGTCTACACACACATACAAATACAAATACACACACATACAAATACAAATACATACACACACACACACACACATATATATATATATATATATATATTAATAAATAAACATAATGCCCCACGCCGACAATACCAGACGAAGATTCATGCATCACGAATTCATCAGGTACAGTGTATAATCAGCTCCCAGTGCGTGATGATTGAGTATGAAACTCCGAGTCGTACTCTAGGCGTAGATATTATGTATCTTTTTTTTTATATTAGAACTATCTTAAAGGGACCTCTGGTATGATTAAACATTTTTATATATTTTTGAAGCAAAATACAATTCTTATGTCTTTTCAATTTAAAATTAAATTAAAATTAAAAAAAAGAATTAAATTAATATTACATGTATCATAATATAAAATAATGTCTATATGATTGTAATACACAGACTTTTTTCGAAAATTCTTCCCGTATATTTTAAAGTGAACATTTTACAGTGTCTACATATGACCGTAAACTCATTTTGCTGATTTAATAGATCATTATTTTTAAGAAACTTAATAATGTATAGCTTTTCGAGTAGACACAGGGAACATGGGTTATTTATGTACTTACATATTCTCGTTTATTTAATAATTTCCATTTTTACTGTGGTTTTTTATTGATTTCTTTTAAATACCAAAAAATATAATCAAAGGAGTTGCAGTCTGAGGAGTCAGGTGACCAGATGTAAGCGGTCGCAGTAATGTGGTCTCAGAAATTGTCTGACAGCCATTACTGGGCTCTCCCGCTTGTGTGGCATGGTGCAGAGTTCGTAGGCTCTTCCAGCAGCCA